TTTTATATGCTTCATTGTGTTTCCACCTTGTTATTTTTTCCCATCTGCTGTTGGGGCTGGATAGATAATGTACGGAAGGGTTTTTTTTTGTGTTTGTTTAAAATAGCTACAAGGAAACAATATAGACGAGAGCTGTGAGACTGAACCAAGTGAGTAAAGTTTTGCTCTGTAAAACCGAAACGACGTGCTGAAAGATGATTTAACACATGTAGAATTGATTGGGGGGACTATAGATTGGGGTGACATTTCTTTCTAGGTTTGACGCAGGAGATTCATTTCACATTACACACAGTCATTTGATCCATTACTAATGCAGAAATATTGATTAGTGCAGCTTTAAGATAAATTATGAAAAGTAATTCGAAGGCAATCCGATACAACGCTATAAATTGCAACACAGAAAATACCACACAGCTTCTTCAACACCTCTCTTACATAAAGTACCAGCATAAACAATTCATAACAGTATAAGCAGAAGCCAAAGGCCTAATGAGGAAATTTGGTTTAAGCATCACATTTCAATCCAGTTGATTGTGATGGAGGAGATGATCAGGATCTGTGTGTATCCTGAGGGAGGAGCACCTTGTCATCTCACTGCAGCACAGCTCTGTACAGACAGCGGTATTTCATCTTCTCTTAAGCCCCCTCTCTGTGACATTTCTCTTCATTTTCCAAGTTTTTTAAGACTACAATGAGGTTAAGTCAGGCCTCATACAAAGCAAACATTGCATGTGGTGTCTTGTGTGTACTGTTTGTTGAACTGTCTTATTTGCCTTGTCTGCCTTTGTGGCTTGTCTGAGTGGGTGGATATGAGTGTGATGGAGCAAGGAGCTGCAGTAGCTGCCAGGGGCAAGAAGAGGCAGGACAGAGTCTGCCCCCAGGAATAAATAGCCCAGAACACGATCCAAACTTGCAGCTGAATAATATGTGGAAAACTGCCTAACAACCAGCTGCCCTAACTGACTTTGTCCACTCAGTCTCAACAAGTTAAAAGCCATCACTAAGTACACTTGATTCTTCTACAAGTATTCCCACATCAGCACTTCAAAACTGACAAAGCGTTTCTCTGAAATGTCACTGCAGCAACTTGCAGAGCGACGTGCAGGCCCGCAAACGACCACTGAGAGCTGTCCTAATTGGCAGTCGTCAGCTATCAATCAGCCTTGGAGGTTATAAATAGCTTTTGTATTGATGGAAACTCTGTTTGCTGAGCAGACTCTTGTGCCCTCCTTAATGAGAATGCAAACAGTAAAGCTGTGTTTAAAAATGTAGGCCAACATGCAAAACCACCAAAAAGCTGGACGCTGAAACAATGCGTCGGTTCAATGAGACGACCGAAAAAACAAGACTAGCGCTCTATTGCCGTGCCAGACTGAGAGACCCCAGACACTTTAACCAAGTCGTCCAGGGACAGGAAGCCTAACTCAAAGACACGCTTGTTTAAAATTGGTCACTGAGCTCAGGAAAGTTTTATAGCTTAGCTTCTGCAATCTGTGGACCGCTGCACATGGCCCTGCCTGTGCATCACCTGCTCTGTACAACTTGTGGCATGAGCTTTAAATTGGGATGATGTCACGCAAGTGAAATAGCTTTTCTCAAATACAATAATGCAAAGAACAATAACTGACACCAGCTGTAGATGGAGTTGTTCTGTTGACAGTTTTACAGATAATGATGCTCAGCAGTGAAAATGCTTGCAGTGCATCAAACGTCCATTGGGAACTTTTGGTTGCGAGGCTGAGTGACGGTGCAGTATCCACCTCTCCTTGTACATCCATGTGTTTTACAGATATTACATACCTTGATCACTAGCATTGTTTAGTTGTTAGTATGCTAACATTTGGTCAACAGAACTTTTGCAATTTACAGCAGGCTGATAGTGCCGGAGTTTATTGTATTTGTTTAGCCACTTACTGTTTCTTTCTTTTTATTTAAAAAAAAAAAAAGTATGTTTTTTACATGTGAAACACGTTTTCCACATTAGCCTGTGTCTCCTTAGATTAGTGTGACTCAATGAATGTAGACTGTGGGTATAAGTCTGTCATTTTCACTGCGCATTCTTCTGTTCTTCTGCTACCTCCATGTTTCCAGAATCCCCTTCGTGATCAAAAACAACAACAACAAACGGCAAGCTGAAAACATGCCTGAAATTTGCAAGTTTTAAAGAAGACTTCACTGTGCAATAAGGCAGGTATGCTTGGCTCTTTTAATAAATTAGTGGTTTTAATGGCAGTGTTTGCCACGTGCAGATGAAAACTAACTGAAACTATTTTGCGGGGGCACCATCGCTACATCCTGGGCTCAGCACTGTCAAAGACGATTATAATTGGTTTAAAGGAATACAAACAAGCCAGAACCTTTATTTCCCCTGCAGCTGAATGATTATAAGGTGCAGTCAGACTGTTCTCCAGAGCTGACACAGTACTGTGGGCTTTAGGAGACTACCTCAGGATATGTACCTTAAGCTTTCCACCACTCACTTAAAAGATTGTCTGCCTTCCACTTCTACGCTGTTTCTACACTGTGTTCAGATTTAGAGATATAAAATAGCTTGTTGATGCTGAAAACCTGCAGGCCTACTTTTCTCCAAACTGAAAATCAGTCAAGAATCAAAAGGGGAATCACAAAAGGATTGAACTAATGAGCAGAATTGACACTTGAATCTTATCAGTTCCCATCCTTAGCTGGAAAAAAAATCTACCATTTAAACATAATATTTTGTCTTCACATGTATTACTAGAATAATTTACAAAGAAATCTTAACCTGCTGTTAGCGCTGAGGGGAAACACGACCATAGATATCTATATTGAGTGCCATGACAACATGTCCAACATGATAGCAGAGAAAACTCTCTGTTGACAAGTGGTAGACGACTGCCCCCAACCAACAGACAGGCTGACCTCGCCATCCTTTAGAAACAGTATTTCTTGTTTTGTTGTCAGCTGAGACACTTCACTTGACAACTGACCTACTATTGTGTGTTATGATTGAAAATTCCACATCGTGTTGAGCTTGTTTTTCTCAAGTGCCATTTTAAGGTCAAGAGTGAATTTTCTATGTCAGCTATGTTCAGAAAAGTTGAACGTGAAGCCTTGGGTGTGCTCAGAAAAAACTGAAAAATGTGTATTTCCATGAGCAACTCCATCTCCCGAGGAAGGCCAACAAATAGCTGATTTTGTTGAGAACACATTTCACATTACATTTCCTGTGGCATTTTCTGAAATTCGAAAACACAACCCACCAGGCAGAGCAAGAATGACCGGTGAACCTGGGCGAAACCCCAGGTATACGACTGCCTCGAGTGGTCAAAGCCTCACATTCATTCTTCAAAGAGATATTGTGGAAGCACATCAAGGGGAGCAGCGAGTCACTGCTGATTTGAAGCCTATGCCACAGCAGAGTCAGGAGCGGAAAGAGTTTGGGAGGAGCGTCGAGAGTGCACAAGGGGATGCCACTCTGATAAAGAGTTGAGTGGGGAGGCCCTAAAATCCCTTTTATATTACCGGCTCACAAACATGCAGGAAAAACTAGCACACGAGCCAGAGGGTTGGGGAGGGTGGAGATCAAAGCTTAGATGAAACTCCAGACAGAAATCATTGCAAGCATATGAAAAAGACAAATACTGTAGCGAGAATCTCAACATCACTTTTTTTTTTTTTCTCCTTTCATTTTTATTTTTTCTTCTCCTCCCCCCAAGCAGTCAGTTCATATGATCTCCCTGTCGGGGGGAGAGACGGTGATGCTGCACGACAACTAAAGTACAAAGGATTCCAACCTGCCACAGACATGAACACAAACACAGCTGCCGCGGTCCTCTCCCGCGACTCGACGGAGCTGAGTGCGCAAGCTTCCTGAGAGGTCTGTGCATTTGTGTATCTAAGAGCAGGAGGTAGAGGAGCCAATAAAGCTCTCCTGACAGGTCTACAGTAAATAAAAGTGTGACAGGTTCTCTGCTCGTGGTGGATCCAATTCTCCCCGTGCACCCAAACACAGCCATCAGTTTTCCTTATCTCCTGCCTCTCGCCGCTGTATTCAATTAACAGGAGGTGCCAGGGGTATCAAGTTCTATGTGTGTTTGTGCGTTGAGGGCAAGGTCAGAGACAGACAGCTGCTGTCAGCTTCAAATTATTACCTGGAGTGTGTTCATTTGCTCGTTCATCCATTCACGTTCACTCACTCACTCGCTCCCCTCTATCTGTGTGAGGGTGTGTGATGTGCTGGTGATGGTGTTGGTGTTGGTGACGTGGTGAAGCCATCAGGCATGCAGTGCACCACACCGTTGGCCCTCGGGGTGCCCTGGGAGGGACACTTGCTCTTTTCTGACCTATTGCACAAGTAAATGTTAAATGGAGGGGAGGGGAGGTGGGGGAGCAGAAGGGGCTTCTCATTGACATTCCTGTTGGTTTGAACGGAAATGTGGCAAAAAGAGACTGCACCCATGGGTGCTGTCCTATAGCCAGGGATGAGTGTGCCGTTCCAAATGGCAGGCGAGTCAGATGTCGCCCCCGTTGCCAAAGTCCCCTTACAGCCAAATTGTAACACATGACTGGGAAAGAAAAAAAGAAAAAAAAAAGAAAAAGAAAGACACAAAAATTTTAATCTGTCATTCTGTATGTAAGCCAGTGGAAAGGGAAGCAGCCCACAGGGAGGCAGCTCCAGTTGTGCTGACATCCAGACTGAAAGTAATGATCTGATTATTCAACAAACAGAAACCATATTAATATTAATCATTTATCAGGACATGAGGTCCCAGATCCTATCACTATTTACACTACAACACACTAGAAGATTGTGTAATTGCTGTCTTCATGGTGGGAGTTCATCATCATGCATTCTTGGAGTTTCTTTTTGCAAACCTTCATGTGTGCTTGATTGCATATATATATATATATTAGTATCATTAAATCTGATTTTCAACATGTATTTAGAGGACAGCAGTCCTGCAACCAAAAGGTCAGGGGGAATTTCGGTTCGGTGCATGCTGCAGAGATCAACCCACCTATAGTCGACACCACAGTTCCAACAAAATAAAAAGCCCCTGTAAAATCCCATCTTGGCCTCAGAGCGTCAGCGCGGATCCCGGCGGCGATGGCAGCCTCGTACTCCCGCAGGAACGAGTTGAGGTCCTGCAGGCTGATGTTGAAGGTCTCGCTGAAGTTGTGGAGCGTCCCGTTCCAGCGGCCGTGAGCCTGCAGCTCCGAGGGCCTCTCTATGGCTGAGAAGACCGCAGCGCCGCACAGCAGGTAAAGGAGGATGAGGATGGCGAGCAGCACGAAGCGGCCGTTGTCCTCGTTGAAGTGCAGGGAGCGGCAGCCTTGCAATCGCTGGCCAGGCATCATCCAAATTTCAGCACCACTCGCGCGTCGGACAGCGACAAGCTCCACATCGGAGACGGCATTCACTCGTCTACCCTCTGGAAGTCCCTGTCCTGCTCTCTCACTGCACTTCTACAGGCATCAATCCCTCCGGTGAGCCCACCACGTTGTCTCATTGTACTTGTGAAGTGATGTTATCTGTGACTGAAAGGCAGAAAAACGACCCACTTGTGGATATTAGTCTGTAGATCCAGCGCACAGTTAGTTTCATAATACACACATTTTTTCTTCTTACAGTTGTGCCAATGCAGTTGAAGTGGACTGCAGCCTAAATCCAACTGGATGCGCTTCTCAAGGTAAAAGCAAGCATTAGTAGTAGTAGTAGTAGTAGTATCCTCCGGGTCCGCCTGCACCAAAAAAAAAGAAAAAAAGAAAGACAGAAAAAAAGAAAGAAAAATCCCCAAATAAAAGATCGGATTTCTGCAAGTTGCAGATTTTTACGCGCTCTCGGATAAAGTCCTCTCCTCTCTGGCTCGCCTGTTCTGGAGGAGAAGTGTGGAGCCTTTATTTGGATGCTTTAGTGGCACGCTGCATCCCAACAGAGCATATGGTCACATCACTCTTTGCTGTGAATCGAGAGGCAATCCGGAATCCTACCACCGAAGAGGATAAAAAAACGGCTTGAAATGTGCAGTTGGCGGAGGAGAAAAAAAAAAGCCGGAGCATCCCCGTGCGTCCTTGAGGTAGTCTTCAGATGACAGGATTTACATTTTCACTCCGGTGCAGCCCGTTGGTACCTTTGTGCCATGCGCACTGAGGAGGCTCGACTCAGTGGAAACTCACTTTCTGCACCGTGGGCGCAAACACAGACACGAGTACCTCCCTGCACTAAGCTGCTTTTAAAAAGAAAAAAAAAAGTTCCTGAAAGCTTCCACATTAAGCCAAGGGCACAAAAAAAACACAATGCTGATCAGCAGTAGTGGGGGAAAAAACGATTCCTTGCACACACACAAAAAAAATCTCTTTTTAGTTAATCAATTAGACCTTTTTATTAAATGTCAGGAAAATGTCAATCAGCTTGCAGTGACGCAAAACAGAGGAAAGCAGCAAATCCTCAGAGCTTAGACACTGTAAAATGTCTCAATTAACCAAGATTATCAGAATATTAACACCCTAAAGTGGTTGTAGTCTCAACCTGCAAAGCAACTAGCAGGCCAGACTGTTAAATAAATGTAGTTAAAGGTAAATAAAGTGAGTCATTTAGTGGAGCTAATGGAGATAAAACTGATCTAGAATTTACAATGTCATGACTTATTGTACATTATACAATAAAATACCAAATTTCTGTGTCTGGTCTGCTGCACGTGCGACGTTAAGAGGATGGTTGAAGACAGATGGACATGATCTCACCCTGCTGTCATCCCTTCACTGAATAACGACCAGGTCAGAATGCTCTCAAGAACCGAGGGAAAGACTCTTCTTTGCTTGCAGCAGGTCGAGATTTCCAATACAACATGAGGACACGGATGAGTGAACTTGTAGCAGCTCCGTGAGGTTGAAAATTACAGTTCAGGAACAATATGGAGGGAAAAAAAGCAGCAACTTTTATCTTTTTTTTTTTTTATTATTGGTTTGGTTGGTCACGCAGTGGAAATTCTAACAAAATCAATGACGACCTGGAGCTGCTGATCCATGAAAATACCCGTGAAAATATCGATTGATGCTTTAAAAAGGCAAGTTATCCAGCTGAGGGGGAAGCAGCGAGTCTCTGTCACAAATAAACTTTGAGTTCAGAACTCTTTATGTTGATTAAAAAAAAAAAAAATAAAATAAAGAAGAGAAAACCTTAAGTGGATCCCTATGAGAAGCAGAACGTAGAGATGTGTATTTAATCCATGTTTTTGTTTGACAGGCAGTGGTTATTTTCCCAATACGTAGACAGTGAAGGGTGTGCATAACCCACTTTATTGATTCTGCTTTCTAATGTGGTTAATTGGCTTACAAATATCAAGGCTGACTGCAGAACAAGGGCATCCTCAGCACAGTTATCTCAGCTACCCACAGACTGTCCCTGTCAAATCTAATCTTTACCTCAAAATGTAAGAAAGCTCAGTAATAGAAGAAGACATCAATGAAAAGTTACGCCTGTGGCACTGACAGGAGGCCTATCCGTTTACTTAATTACAGCCTGTGTTCTTTGTGCTGTAGTAGACGCTTGACTGCACAAGACTTGGAGAAAAACAACAAAATACAACATGCAACATGAGTGCAGCCATAACGAGAAATAAAAGGGAAAATATACTGATCAGTGGAAATCAAGTGAAAAAATACACTATGTTCTCTTTTCCTGTTGTATCTTTTCTCCACCCACTAATTTCTTTCAGGGTCATGGGGGGCTGCAGACTATCCCAGCATGCACTTGCTGGAAGGCAGGGAAGTCATTGCAGGCAATCAGAAATACAGTACAGCTGCTCATTCATACCTCCAGGACATTTAGAGTCTCCAGTCCACCTGACTGTGGGAGGAAACCAGCAGAGCTGAAGCACAAATTAATCCTGAGTCCATGTGTTGTCCGACAAAAACACGATTAACCCCTGAGACGCAGTGTAAAGCATTTAGCTGATCATACTTCATTTCAACCTTTATATATGTACACACTGGACAGCGCTGTTGTATAGAAGCGTATGGAATTATATTTTGAACTATTTATTTCCTCCTGCATTATGAAGCATCCATAATCCCAAATCGCCAATAATTCAAAATGTGCCTTAAAGAGATCTAAAGAATGATTGATTGCACGTCGACATAGCTGCTATCATATGTAATGCCATATTACAAAACACGGACAAATAAAACATTCATTAACTAGATCGTTTATCACATTTTCCTCCATGTAATATAGGTTTTAAAGTATTGAAGATTTATAGTCTTTCAGAAATACAATGATAGATGTTTAACCATCTGTATGTGTGCACACAGCTACCATATGGGGCTGGATAATGTGTATAATATTACAATCTTTTTAGATTTTCTGTGCCTGATGCTGCCATACTGAGCAGATCGGAATGGGATTTACCAGGTTAAATACATGGGGACAAGAGGTGTTCCTTACATATAGCTTACTGATGCTAAACAGTGGGGGTAAAACAAAGTGTCACCACAATAAAACGATTCATTAAGTCGATAATTAGCCATCCAATGAGGCCAAGATATTGAAAAGCTTAATCATAAATACATCAATATGCTTCACCCCTTGTCTTAATTAGAAAAGGAACTGAGGCTGAAGTTTAGCATTAGTTAAAGTGAGCCTGTTGTACGACAGCCACTGTGGCTAAGAGTGACAACTAAATTGGTTCATGCGGTTAATGTGGTTCATGCGGTTCATTTGAAGCAACCTTGCACAACTAGAGGGGAGTGATCAGGTCAGCTAACAGACTCGATAACGCCTGCTCGCATTAGTCATCATAAACTGCTGGTCAAACCCGAACAAACAAGACTGCGGCACGAAATCTCCTGAGTGTATTAAATAAACCAAGGGCATGTGGTAATGTCTAGAACTCCTTTTTTTTTTTTTTTTTTAATGTTGAAGATGAAGAATGGCTCATTTCTCCTTCTAAACATTACACAGTTTATCCTCAAAGCTGTTTGAACACAAATATATCAATTCTTGCATGTATGAAACGCTAAATGCCGTCCATCTGTAACTCGGCGCACACCTTAACTGGCCTATTACGGAAATTACAGAGGGCATGCGGGGAAGACAGAGGAGAGACAATCCTTCAAAGTGCAGCAACGAGGGCTCCTGCCGTGAATAGAGATGAGGTGACAGGGGAGGACACACATCCGTTTACAGTGAGAAATGAAACGGGGGGAGGGACACGAGTGAGGGATTTCCTCTCACCCTGCTGAGCCGGAGTTGCTCCCAATGATTGAGAACATATGGGGAAATCAGTCACTCTGAAAACCCTCCAAACAGGCTGTTTATTTATAAAGTACACACTGCAAACAACATTCCGATGTATTTACACTACATATGTTGTGTTGTTTTTGTTGGTTATTATGTCATTATATTCACTTTCTTGAGCACCATTTGGCCTCTAATACAGAAAAATAAAGCATCCCATACAGGCCCCTTTAATGAATAAAAGTGGTCTCATACATTCAGCAAGTTCTAGCATGTGATTTGACACAAGAGAGGTAAAAAAGCATGCACCGTGTAGAAAGGAGTGAATGTATATTGATTTGGATCTGGCTTGACAAGTCCAATTTGCCCAACACAGTCCACTGAGATTTGAAAGAAACCCTTCACAAACCTCATTGATCTCAAGGGCTTGAGAAAGATTGATTTAGCATAGATACCTGCATACCTTAGACCTGCACGTTTGTGTATTCCCCCCCAAAAAGGAGGAAAACAAAGCAAGTTAAAGAAGCCAGGAGGATAGAAAAATCCATCTGAATTCGCACAGTGCTGACATGCATGGGTCAAAGCTCCATGTAAAGTGCAAACTGCACGTTGCGTTTGCCGTCTGATGTTCTCTTTCTAGATAAACTCCTGCTGTAATCACTGACACAAGAACTGACAGGAGCGTCAGTCAATCAGTGCCTCCGTCCTACAACCTGAATCCTCGTCTTTTCCGCTTCTGTGATTTTGTGTGTGCATGCGTTTGCTTTAAATGAAAACCATTTTCCCGCTCTTCCTCTTGAGAAGGATTTGCCATCAAGAATCCAATTAGATTTACAGTCCAACAACAATAACTCTCCCAAGAAATCCTGAAAGGTAAATTATTTGAGAGGAGGGGGAGGCAGGTTTAAGGTGGCTCATTCAGTTGTTGGAACCTGCGTTTCATTTTGCCGAAGAAATGCATCCGCTTGGCAATCTGCCGGCTTCTCAGCAGTGGATGATCCAACAATGTATGATTTTCCACTCTACGGGTCTTCTGCTGCCCACACATCTTTTTGAAAGCTGTTTCAGTTGCGATACCTCAGAGAAGAATTACATAAAATTTAAAATACAACAAAGAAAG